CAACCCCGCCCCGCCCCACCTGACTCCCACCCCCGCCCCCCTTTACTTTCCTCTTTCAGATCAGCACCATTATTCCTCAATGCTGTTATTTGCCCCTCCCCCTCTCCTCCTCGCCCCTGCCCTCCTTCTCCTCCTCCTTCTCCTCCTCGCCCACTGCCCCCTCGCCCGTCTTCGCCCAATTGTGTGCTCCTTCGTCCCACCGCCCCCCCCCCCCCCCCACTTCTCCCATCCCCCCCCCTCCCCTCCGCTGCCCCCCCCCCGCTGCATTCCCCGTCCCCCTCTCATCCGTCCTATTCCCTCCTCCCCCCCTCGCGCCTTCGACGGGGGCCAGCGCGCGCCGCGGGTAGTAGGCCGTCGCGCTGACAGACGCGGCGGGGGCGGGCAGCGCTGCAGCCTGCGTCGAGGCGACCGACTGCTGGGGCGGGCAGCGCTGCATCCTGAGGGATATTGGCGGCGCGCGTGGCAGGGCGCCAAGAACGTGGGATCTGGGGGCTGGGGCGCCAAATGGGGGGGGGGGGGGGGCAGGCGCGGGGGTCGGGCGGAGGGGGGGGGGGGGGGCGCGGGATGAGGAAGGCAGGGGCAATGAGGGGTAGAGCACCCACTCTCTCATATCAACTCTCCCATCGCCCTGGCATCCACCACCTCTCCACCGCCGCCCCGCTTCTCACCCTCTCCGCGTCCGCGTTCTTTCCCCTAACGTTTACGCCTCCTTCCTCCACCTCCCCCGTGTTTCGCTGGGATGCGCTGCTGCCAAGGCTGAAGCCAGCCGTATCTCTCCTCTTCGCCGTTCCCCCCTATGCTAACTACCTCATCATCCCCTACCTCCTGAATACTTCCTTCCTCCACGCCTCTCCTCTTTCCTCGCTACGCACCCATCCTCGCCCATCCCCCCCCTCGCCCTCCCCCCCGCATGACGCGCCGTCGTCGCGGGCTCGGGCGGGCACCCCACCGGGCGCTGGTAGTACTGCAGCGTCTGGACCTGACTGTCGTTGCAGGTGGAGAAAGCCTTCAGTGGAAGGAGGCGGGGGGAGGGTTGGCGACTGACGATGGTCTGCCTTCGACCTGGCGCCAGCCTGAGGTCGGTCGACGCCGGTCCGAGGTCAGACCGGCGTCGCATCGACGTCTGGCCGGGCGGAGGCCGAGAGGATCGACCGATGGGGGCGACGATGGAGGGTTTGGGGGGGCGGGGAGAGGGTCGCGGCGATAGACCCCAGGCTGCGTTCGGCCTGACGTCGGTCAGAGGTCAGTATGAATCCAATCTGCGGCCAGACTGGCGTCAGATCTTACGCATGTATAACGTAAGATGTGCGTGGCATATCATGACATACCACGTCGAACTTGCATTATGTGCATGAAACATCTACTACTCTCTTACGGCTATATTACGTTAGACATACGTAAAAAGGTGACGTGACCTAACGGGTATCGGACGGTGCACATACGTGTGATGGCGAAGCCCATCACATACATTACTAGCGTGCTATACACGTAAGATGCCATGCGTCTTACGAGTATCACACGCTAGCAACGCGCGCGATGGGCGCGCGTATCTTACGCGCGTCTTACGTTAGACAGACGTAAGATTGAGGATGGGGAATCGCGAGGGGGGGCGGCGCGGGGGATGGGGATGACAATGAGGAGAATGAGAGGGGCTCTGTGGCGGATAAGGCGGGCGCGGGGAATGACGGCGAGGAGAGGGGGCAGGCTCGAGTCCTTGCCCTCCTCTGCCGTTGCCCCCCCCCCCCCCCCCCCCCCCCCCCCCCCATATGCCCTTCTCCTCCACCCCCCTCCTGCGCCTCATACTGCTGATCAGCAGTTCTCTCCTCAACCTCGCGATCCTCCCCCTCCCCCGTCCCCGCCCTCCTCCTCATCCTCCATCATCCTCCCCATCAGCCTGTCCCTTCTTGTCGCCGCCCACTTCCCCGTCCAGAGCCTGGCGGCGACGGGCTCCGCTGTCGCGAAGCCTTCTGAGGTGCTTCATGACGCAGCTCAACTTGTCCGCCAAGGACCCGCCCCTGGCCTCGGGAGAGCCGCGCGGCTCTGTGGAGGCGCGCGGGTACCTCTGGGCGAAATGGGGAGTTCACGCGCGACGTGCATTATTTGAAGACGTCTTACCTACATGTGACGTTATACGTACGTAAGATGGTATAACATCGTACGTATGTGTAACGTAATATGTACGTAATATTTCATGACGTATCACGTCTAACGTGCATTATATATATGGAACATGCACTACTCTCTTACGGATATCTTACGTTAGACATACGTAAGATAACCGTAAGAGTGTAATGCGCGTCTTACGTTAGACATACGTGGGATAACCGTAAGAAAGACGCGCGTATCCTGCGCACGTCTTGCGTTAGAGAGACGTAAGATTGAGGATGGGGGGTCGCGAGGGGGGCGGCGCGGAAGATGAGGATGACAATTT